GTTCACTGGGCTGTCTGGCAGCGAGGGTTCCAGCCTTCTGGGGCGGGCGAGATGGAGGCTAGTTCCTGCTGGACGCAGAGATTCTCACGGGCAGCAGCTTCAACACGGGCTCCGATTCAACTTCCGATGAAAGGCCAGGCGCCCATTTCCATGGTGCAAACACCCCACCTGACCTCCATGTTCCCCGGACACTGTGCGGCTTCCCGAAGGGCCAGCAGCCTCCGGCATAAGCCATGTTCAAGATCAGGCAGAGGGCCCAAGAGTGCTTCCCCGAGGCTGTCTGCTTCCCCAGGGAAAGTGTAGGCTCACAGCTGACTTGAAGGAGCTGGGAGGAACCAGCGTCCAGGAGCGCCTCTGGTTTGTGTCCAGGCAGGGACTGGAGCCTTATCGGGGAGTCAGAATCACAACTTGAGGCTGGGCCTGTGGACAAGACCCCAGATCGCCCAGCCAGGGTACCCAGGGAGCCACCAGGCAAAGGCAAAATCCCCTTGTTCTGATCTCTGGGAAGCCCCTTTCTTCAGGTGGATGGAAGAGTTATGCCCCATTCCTGGGCAGGGGCTGGGGACACTGCAAAATTACAAACATGATCATCAGTTCAGGTGTAGGACTTAGGGTCCTGGAATCACTGCATAGTTGAGATAGTTTCTCTCCTCAACTCTCAAAGAGACCTCAAAGAGGTTGAGAAATTCCAACATTCCAGGTAGAGAAAATGGACTTTGCTTCAAGCAGGAAAGACTGCAGTTAGACATGAGGTAGGAATACCTGCCAGTCCAAGTGACAGCATCCTGGTATGAACTTCAGGAGGCAGCTGCAGTTTCTTCATCCCCCAAGAGACCGGAATGCAGAAAGACCTGCCCTGACTGGTGAGGTCCAATCAGAGAGGCCCGGTCTCCCTGAGTCTGTCGACCCCTCCTGAACAGCAGAAGGCTCTGTGATGGGAACACTTAGACTGTATGTTGAGAGTTTAAAAAAAAAGACTGAAATTTGAAAACACTTTTCCATGAGTTGATATTTCATATATCACAAAACCATCTACAAGCATTGAAGTAACTACAAATCATCAGAAAAAGTTAAGCTGAGCCGACTCAGACTTCAGAGCCCACATAGGAAGCACAGGGACCGAGGGACACATTGACTGTACAGCAGGCACGACGGACGGGGCCCTCAGGTCACCTGCTCTCTGTCTGCCAAGATGAAGGGCCTTTATAAACGCTGCAGGGGACACTGCTCCAGATCGGGAGAAATGAAGACCCCTAATAAGACAATGTCACTCGTGGACCTTGATCCAGTCCTGACTCGACAGCCTGTTTGTAAACAGACCTGCTTTTCAAGTCACTGGGGACATTTGATGAGGATGTTGGTGATCTTTGTGACTCAGGCCGCGGGGAGGGCTCTCTGGAGTGTCGAGGTGGAGGAGGGGTGCAGCCCTGGTCTGTCCCCTCTGCCAATTTTCGTGGTGTAAACACCCCACTGTGGTCCATTCCAAGCCACCAGCACGCTGTCACCAGCACGGAGTTGGAAAGAGACATGCACAAGCCGGAACCAGCTGGTTCTCACCTACCTGGGTCCTGCAGATGCACACCAAAGTCTGGGGGGAGAGGGGACAGCAAGATATGTTTCGAAATAATTCAGTCGGGATCTTTTTAAGTAAAGGAAGCAAAGAGGTAAAAATACCGATCGTCATTGACTTCAGGTGATTCGCATGGGGGGTTTTTTTTCTTTTTCTTCTTTTTCTTGGTTTTTTTTGACCTTTTCCTGATAAGACCTTTAAAGGTAGGATCATCTCATATGTATAGGAGAGAAGCTTTTACTCTGGGAAGTCTAGGTATGCACATTGGCTGCTGGACCCCTGCCCTCCAGGGGTCAGAAAGCCAAAGAACCACAGGCATTGACATCCGGGGCCTCAGTTCGTCTGGCCAGTCCCCCACAGATCACACCACAGTTTCTCCAGAGATACTGTGCTGGGTGTGTCTGGAGAAACTGAGGGTGGAAAGAGAGGCTCCAAAAGCAGCAGGGACATGGTTCCTGAGCGGAGGTCTGGCTGTGCCGTCCGCTCACGGTGTGACCTTGGGCAGCTTCTTCCAGCTCTCTGAGCCTCTACTTCCCGATGGGCCACTGATGGTTTCTGAAGAGGATCGAACACAGTATGTCGGTGCAGCTCCTTCCCCGGTCTCTGAAGCACAGTAGGTGGCTCAGGAAAGAGGGCCCCTGTCCTCCCCAGAGGGATCTGTCAGGGGCCGAAGGCACAGGAGTGAGCCATTTGAGACGTGGTCGCTGTCCCAGGGCCGGCGGCTCTTCACCAGAGAAGGTGGGCCCCGTGGCGCTCATCTCCACGCTCTTCAAGAGAAACAGGGGCTCTCAGGTGGGGTCTCCCAATCCTGAACTGTTAGCAACAAATCCACGTATTTAAAAACCCGGAGCAGGCCAAGCCAAGCACCTGCGGAGCAGCGTGGCCACAGAACAAGCTGCCTCAGGCCTTGGGGACTTGAAGTGACTTCCAGAAGCAGCCTGGAGAAAGCCCACAGCCTTCCCCCTCCGGACCTAGACATCACTCCTCACCCGTGGAGAATTCTTGTCAGGAGAGTGAGGTCCAGGGCTGCGTCCGTACCTGGCCGGGCCACTGACCAGCTGTGTGACTCGAAGCACCCATTCAGCCCTCCCCTCGGTGCCTCAGTTTCTCCATATGCAAAGTGGAAAGAGCAATCAACGGCATCTGAGTCACGGGGTTGTGGGTACATCTAGAGCACTTTAGAACAGCATCCGGGATTCAACACTCCTAAATGGGACTCGTTCAATATCTACTTCCCAGGGCTGTGGCCAGGATTAAGTAGAGGACAGAACACCTGCCTGGCATGCGCACGGCCCCGGCCTTGATCCCCAGCACAACAGAGAGAAAGCCAGAATCGACAGAAGCAGAGCACTTGGCACAAAGGAGGCCCCGGTACACCTCCCTACTGATACAAGGGCTGGTGGCGATTGAACTTTTTAATTAATTTGTGCTTATCTTCACGGGCTGTCCTTGGAAGTCAGAAGAGCTCTTTCCTCAAAGAGGCTTTCCTATTAAGACTTTCCACTGACTCAAACCAAGGCCCCTCCTGTCCCTTATCATACATCAGGGCGAGCCTTTCTGGCCAGGGCTCCGGTGCCCCCCCTCTGCAGCTCAGCCTGTCCCCGCTCACAGGGCTCACACACAGCTTCCTGTGGGCCACCACACACCCCAGGAGGAGGAGCCGAGTCGGTGAACATTGTCCCCTGATGCACAGAGACACAGAAGTTCCTGCAGCTTCCCAAAGGTCAAGGGCACATGCTTTGGGACAGGGAGTCAAGTAAACTCCAGACCCATATACACCACTTTTGGCAAATCACGAATTTCTCTCATTTCTTTACCTGCAAAATGGGGGAAACGATGCGACCTACTTCCTAGATTTATTGCACAGCTTGCCGGAGGGAAGACACGCCCCTGACCCACGGGTTTGATATGCCGGCTTAGTCCTGGTTTATGCCTAACCCCCCCCCCAGAAAACCTTCCAGTTAAGGTCTCTTATCACTCTTAAAAACGTCCTAATTTTGAAGAAAACTGTATGACCATCCTAAAGTAATTGCTTGCTGCTGTTTAATAATAATGATGATGGTGATTTCCCACCCTAACACACGGAGTCTCCAGGAAGTGCATGGATTGGCTAAAAAAGTGCTCAGTAACTCAGTACCACCCCTAGACCCAGGTGAAAGTGATCCCTACCCTGGGGGCCACACTCGGGCCCTTCTCCAGCCACCTTCCCATCACAGGGAATGGAGACCATGGGCCTAAGGGAAGGGGTTCCCTCCGCCGGGTCAAGGCTGGGATCCAAACCCCAGGATTCTCAATACAGATGGTTCTCAGCCCACTTACACGACACATAGTTTGTTTCCCAGGTCCAGATCCTGAGGACTGACTGGACCTCTGGGTGTGCCCAGTTCTAAGGCTGAGGAGTGGCCAAGGGGCAGCTCTTGGGGGGTGGGTAGAGGGTTGAGAGGGTGGACAGATCTTGCATATGGAGGCTGAGATGTTCGCATGTATTCACAAAATCTCTTGGAGGACGGGATGGAGGCAGGGGTGGGAAAGGGTAGGGGACACAGGCCAGGCACCAGGGCCTCCTCTCTCTGCACACCCATGCTCCACTGCAGGGTCCAAAGAGCCCGAGAAGTCTACATTCAAAGCAGACCTTCCATGAAAGTGTATTTGTTAAGGTAGAAGACTAGAACATATTTTATTTCACATTTTGTTAGCTTGATTTATAACCTGCAAATATTTAGACATATGGTACGTGAACTTCCATCTGTACTCTTGCTGGGCTCCACAAATCCCTGCCACCTTCTGCCCAGCCTCAGTGCCAAATGTTTACAGAGCCCCTCCTCTGTGCCGAGCCCAGGCCGCTCCACAGAATGAAGAACACCATCTCAGCACCCCAACGTGACCCGTGGCCTCACTGCTCAGAAAACAGTGAGGAGCACCAGGCGGCAGCTGAGGGCCTGATCCTTGCCTCTGTCCCCAGCCCCTAGTGAGGTGAGGTGAGCCCCTGCCCATTAGTTTCCCCATTTGGACAAGAGGTTCCTCTAGCACCGCGTGACTGTGGCATGCAGGTGAAGGCAAGGGTGAGAAGGAACTGGAATAGTTTGGGTGACCTGGCCATGGGCAGATAATCATTATGGGTTATTACGGGGTGAACTGAGCTCTCTGGGCCAGCCAGGCAGCCTATTCCATGTCATTCATTCATTCCACAAACATGGCAGCCCCGCAAGAGATAGGGGCTGAGAGTCTGCAAACCAACAAGGGGCTGGCCCTGACATGTACGGGTGGGAAAACAAAACCAGCCCACGGAAAACCAAAACGCAAAGCCAGCCTCGGTGAGTGTGCTGAAAGGAGAGCTTCCCTCTGCTCTTCCATCCCCAGGTCGGTGCGTCTAGTTCTCTGACGCGAAGGCGAAGGCTCGATAGGTAAGGGACTTCAGGGACTTCGTCAAGACCTTGCTGCTTCGGGCGCGCCCAGAGCTTGCGGCTAGCCAGAAGCGAGGTTTCAGATTCCCGAAGTCTCAGGCCACTGTCCCAAGCTGCCCGAAGCTGGGAGGCCCCGTCCAGCTCCCGGAAGGCTGGAGGGAGGTGAGCGCCAGGGAGGGGCTGGGCCGCAGGACGCGCGGGCCGGGAGGCTGGGAGGGGCCTGGCGGGG